AGATTGGACCCAGGGCCTTCACACTGATACATTCCCTGCCCTTAAAAAAATCTTAGATTTTTAAGACAGAATATTGCTAAATTGATAAGTTGTCAAGTAAGGTTTAAATTTGTGATCCTGTTGCCCCAGTTTCACAGAATGCTGGAATTATAGGCATACACCACCATGCCTAGCTAACCTTTAACTCTCAGACTATTAAAAATTTGGTTGATGGCCAAATGTGGTGGTACATACCGTGAGCACTGTGCTTGGGAGGCTGAGGCAGGAGGATTTCCATGAGTTCAAGGACAACCAGGGCACCATAGTGAGTTCTAGACCAGTCTTACCTACATAGCAAGACCCTATCTCAAAATACCAAAATAAACATATAACTATAAATAAATAAAAATTTAAAAATTGGCTGATGAAAGATGTGGTTATCTACCCAGATTAATCTTCACATCATAACAGGATGCACCTGTAACCAGGGGACTGAAGGATTGCCAGTTTGAGGCCAGCTTGGGCAATACAGAGACCCATTAAAACAAACAGAAAAACAAGTACATACACCAAAATTTCTTGGACAATACAGGGCATACCGTCCAGGGGAAAGAGCACTCACTGATCATTCCAAACCTATCCATTAATTCTCAGGTTCGTTTCCTATTGCTAGGGGAGCAAGAAGTGGTCCACCCCTATCTGATGGGCAGTTCCCACCCCAGTCTACTGTACCCCTTCTCCCCTTTGCTGATGCAGTTTTCATCAACATACAATTCTAACATTAGTTCGCAAAATCCTTGATGCTCCAATCTCCAGCTGACCAATCCCCACCCTTTGAGAAGGTGAACAACTCCTTCACCGTTAGATTTGTAACTGTTAACACCAACGATGCAATTTAACGCTGTTACTCGTTAAGGAGACTCCAGAGAAGTGTGCATCTGTAAAGTAATCCTGGTATAACCAAGGGCCGAGGTTATAGCTCAGTGGCACAGCGCCTGCCTGGCTAGTGCAAAATCCTGAGTTCAATTCTTGTACCCCCCAAAAAAATATTGTCACCAGTATTAAAAAATGTGCATAGCACAGAGTAGATGCATGACAAACTGTAGGTGCCTACAGATTTATTATTTTTGGGTAGCTCGATTTTGGGGGGGGGGTCAGGGTCTCGCTATGTAGCTGAGGCTGCCCTAGAACTCACAGTAATCCTCCTGCCTCCAAGTAATGTGATTACTGGCTTTAAGCACCATGCGTGGGTCAACTTTCTTTTTGAACCAACGTTTGCTACAAATTTGGAGATTAATAAACTCAGAAGAGAGCTGAACACCCTCCTCAGTCCTGCTGAGCAGGGAGCAGAAGAGAAAGCCTGCAACCCAAATCTAGGAGCGCAGGTCGGCGCACTGACACATGCAATCAGACGCAACTCTGAATTAAGGGACAGGCAGCTGCGCGCAGTATGCTGGGAACTACGCGATAGCCGGCTGCGTCGGCTGGGACTTGTAGTTCTGCGCCTGGTTAGAATGCGCAAGCGGTTACAGTCGCTACACTCGACCACGCTGTTTATAAGTAATGTGCCAACTTTGCTTGTTCACCACAGAATACTGTTGTTCTCCGGGGCAAGTGTATCTGACAATATCTTCGAAACCATTTGCCCCAAGTCGGGCGTGTTTGCGCATGCGTAGCCTCAGTGTCCCGGCATGCACGCGGAGGGCTCCGCCCCGGAAACGCTCTTCCAGAGAGGCCGCCTGGAGCCGGGCTGCGCATGCGCACTGTCCCCGGGCCAAGATGGCGATGAGGTGTTCTGCACGCTGGTTGCTGGTGGTTGTGGGGACCCCCCGGCTGCCGGCTGCAGCGGGGAGAGCGGCGCGCCCACTCTGGGAGGGTGTAGTCGGGGCATCACTGGGCCCCAAGCTGAATGTCGCCGCCTTCGCGCCTTCCCTAGGCGCTCGCGGTCCCCGGGCGCTGCTGACATTGAGACCCTGTGTCAGCCTCACAGGTGAGGGCAGGTTCTAGCGCCCACGTAGCAATTCCCTGGTCTAGAAAGAAGTATCTCGATTCATTCCTGCTGCTGGGGTAGCGGGGAGGCGGTGGCTTCCTACTTGGTGCGTAATTGCTGTGGAGACAGGTAATCAGGAGGTGGAGAGGCCCAGAAGTCAAGGGGAAAGAGCTGCATGGACCTCGGGGTGGTGAAACACCCCGAAGGCCGTGAACTTTCAACTTTTTGTCAGCATTTCTCGAGGCCGCTGCTACCTTCCTCTGTCTTTCCCATCTCTCTACCTCCTATAGTGGAAGGAAAGAGACAGCTGCCGTTTGGTGAGTGCTAGACAGTAATCTTCCAAGGTGCAGATTGTCACCTCTTTTAAATGTGAAGCCAAAGCTCCTAAAGGAATTGACTTGATCATTGTCATAAATTAGATGAGTTGTCCCAACCCTAGAGCTATCGTTTCAGTTTATGCTCTTTCCACCACGTGTTAATTGAAGGACATAGTGTTTTAGAAAACCTTAAGTCAGTGCTCGTAATAAGAAACATTGAAGGGGCCAGGGAGATGGCTCAGTGGAATAAGCGCTTCCCTGGCAAGTGCAAGGGACTGAGTTCAATCCCCAGTTCTGCCAAAAGAAAGAAAGAAAGAAACATTGAGCACTTACTGTGGTATTATGATTCCATTTTACAAAGAAACTGAGCCTTAGACATTAATTTGTAGAATGTCACAAGGCTAAAAATGGTAGAGCTCTGCTTTGAAAAAAGAGTGGCTTATTTTGGTTCATGAAAATCTGCAACCTTCTAAATTGCTGGATTCATTCCAGATTTATATGTAATAAGTCTTGAAGTGCTTTACCATGATGTTTTCATGTGCTGTACGTTGAGAAACTTCAATGTAGTGAGAACAAAAGGAGGAAATATTGAACAGCGTATCATGTTCCTGTTTTTTGTTGTTTTGTGTCTCCAGTAATTTGTACAAATAATATGAAAGCTACCTATAAATTTATAAAGAAGGTTAACTAAGCCTTGACAAGGTAATTTATTCAAGATAATTTCTTGTTGGGGTGCAGTTTTGTAATGGTTACATAATAGGCAGTCATTAATATTTTAGTAATTGTGGTTATTTTGGGCAGGTTAAAAAATATGGGTAGTCAAATGCAGTGGCACGTGCTTGTTATCCCAGCTACTTGGGAGACTGAGAAATAATTAGAGTGCCAGCCCAACCTGGGAAACAAAAAAAAAGACCCAGTTTCAAAGCGAAAAGAAACAAAAGAGAAGACGGGTATGGTGGCACATGCCTGTAATACCAGCCTTCAGGAGGCTGAGGCAGAAGAATCACCACTAGTTTGAGGCCAGCTTGGGCTATATTGTGAGTTCAAGGTCAGCCTGAGCTACATGGTGAGACCCTGTCTCAAACAAACAAACAAACAAACACCAGTTCTCTACGTGTGGTGAATGCCTGTAATCCCAGCGCTCTACAGTTTGAAGCAAGAGAAATGCAAGTTCAAGTCCAACCTGGGAAATTTAGTAAGATCTTGTCTCAAATTGGAAAAAGAGCTAGAAGTAGTTCACTTTGAAGGCTCTGGGTTCAATCCCCAGCACCTCCACCCCAAGACAAAGAGAAAAAAATCATGGAGTTTGAAGACAGATTTGTCTACACCAGAGTGTGTGAAGTGGGTGTATAATTTAATCTCTTAAGCCTCTTTACAACAAAAATTCATTGTAAAAAAAAAAAAAATCATTGTAAATATTTATTGAGACCCATCCTATGCCAGCCACTAGCATCACAGGTGTAAATATGGATGAATTCAAGCACCCCAGCCTAACAAATTTCTGTAGCTTCTTAGCAGATACCTTAAAATCTGTCCCTGAACTTTTTACTTTTTTCGTAGGGAATTGAACTTGACCTCACACTTGTCAGTCAGGCATTATGCCAGTGACCTATATCCCTGGCCCAATTTCTTATTTTTTAACTAAAAACAATTTTTATAGGATTGGGATGTGTTGCATACATTTATCAACTCTATAAAAGGAATGGAAACATGTACCAAAAATAGGAAAAGAAATGGAATCAAGGGATAGATAGAGGTCGGGGGAGAGAGGGAAAGGGAAGGGGATAAAAAGGAAATTAAGATGTGTTATATACATGTACCATCTTTCCACAAGGAATGTAAACATGTACTATATACATGTGCTAGTAAACTAAAAAAAATTGGTTTTTGGGTTTTGTTTTGTTTTATTTCATTTTTGGTACTGGAAATCAAACTCAGGACCTTGCACTTGCCAAGCAGGCACTTGTGCCCCTGAGCTATAACCCTGGCCCTGTTTTTGTTTTTTGAGGCAGGGTCTGACCACATAATTCAGGCTGGTCTTGAACTCACTCTGTAGCCCTGGCTGGTGTGTAACTCATGGCAAACCTCCTGCCTCAGCCTCCCTGCTGGGATTACAGGCATGCCCCACCATGCCTAGCAAAGCTAATTTTTTTAAAAATAGCATTTTATAAACCAGACCCACATGTGTAAATATATTGTCTCCCTAGTATAAGAATTCAAAAGAGGGGGAACTGCCCGCTCAGGCCCCCCTCCTGTCCCTCTCTTGGACAGGAGCTTTCTTTCTCTCAATAAATATATTCTGCTCATTTTTAAAAAAAAAAAAAGCAAAAGAGGAATTACATATAGAGAGGTACAACTCAAAAAGAAAGTGAGAACTTGAGGATTGGACAATGAGGAGTGGGCAAGGAGAAAAGCTGGGAAACATGACGGGGCAAAGCCATGCATTTGTATGCACAAGATGAGTGGGGCAGTGATCCTAGGGGACATCAGGTTTTTGAGACTAGCGATTGGCTGGTGGGATTCTCACCCTAACTAACTGTATATGCTGGTGCCTGTGGGCCAGGTGGCTGCACTGAGGATGGCGATGTGTAATAGAGGGGTCATGCTTCAGTGCCTGTTGTCCTGGTCGTCTAAATTTGTACTTCTTCTTTTTTTTTTTTTTTTTTTTAACCGGGGATTGAACTCAGATCCTTGCGTTTGCCAGTCAAGCGCTTATCCTACCGAGCCATCTCCCCGGCCCCATGTACTTCTTGTATGACATACCAATTAGTGCCATACTGTCTCTCAAGTAAAGGGTTTTGTTGTTTTTTTAAAGGGTAATGAAGGGGAAAAAAAGGCCCAAATAGAAAAAAAAAAGTCACAGGTCTGTCCTGTTACAATTCTGTATATGGTTAAATTTCTAAATTTCTTTGTAAAAATATGTAAATGCTTATTTCTAGTTTTTAAAAATTATTTTTCCTTCATATTCTGTAAGGACTTAAAGTTCCACATATCAATATTTGATGGGAAAAACCTGTTCCATGATATGCCAAAGATGTTTGATATTTAGACAGATAGGGTAAACCAAACTGCATATATTACAGGTTAATAATAAGCTTTTCTTTGGAGGGTTAACAACCTAAGTTAGCAGATCAAAATTGGAGAAAAGGAAGGACTGCAAGGTCAGCCAACATTTTGGCCCTAGCCTTTTAAGGTCAGTGAAGACTCAGGACATAGGAGAACCTGTAATGTAACATCATGTAACTCAGTTGTGCTCCAAATTTTCTGATCAAGGAGAATATGGAGCCACAGAGGAAAGTGACTGATGATGTATAGTGTGCCTGGGGAGAGTCACATGGAGAGAAAAAACATTCTTTCAGGCTTTCACGGAGAGCAAATTGGCCAAACAATGGTCGTGACTCATCCTCATGGCTGACACTGACAAGGGATCTACAAAGTGCGGTACAAGGCTACAGGATAAACTGAGGGTACTTGACTAACCTTATCAGATACAAAAGTTACATTTTTTGTTATATAGGTCTTGCTTTATCTTGGTCTTAACCACCCAGCAGAAAAGTATAAAAACAAGGTATATAAAGTAATGTCATATTAATACGATGAGCTGTAAAAGGCTCAAGTCAATAACTTCTGAGGATAACCCACTAATATTATAGACTCCTAGACAGTGTTGGATTGTTTAGCTGAATTCAGACATCTATAGTATTTAGATCCCAGTAGAATACCCACCTCTGACAGGACTAAACAAAAAAAGGGGATACAAAGGAAAGATCATTTTGTATTTATATGTACAAAATAGTTAGGATAGATATACAGTTACTTTTGCTTAATTTAATGAGAAGAAAGAGGTGTACTAATAGTGTTTGGACAGGATATCCTGTCTGCTTCTTGTACTATGGATAACCGCCAAGAAGATAACAATGTACAATGTGTTGATTATTGAAACTGTCCTATTAATCAGCTTTGAAGCTGTCTCATTCATATTTGTTTCTCAATAAAATTAAAATAAAAAATAAATGTTGAATCTCCAAAAAAATAAAAATAGCATTTCAGCTGGGTGTGGTAGTACCTTCCTGTAATCCCAGCACCTGGGAGGCTGAGGCAGGAGATTTACCCCAAGTTCAAGGCCAACCTGGGCTACAGCATGAGATCCCATCTCCAAAAGTAAAACAACCTCGCATTGTGTTGTTAAGGCTGATCTCAAACTCCTGGGTAAGTGTTCAGGTAGTGTAAAAGAGGGAGCTAAATCTTTTTAATGATTCTCTAAGTGCAGCCACCTCTCCAGGCTATTTACAGAGATTATGCTAGTTATATGATGGAGCAGAATCAGACACACCTAATGTCTGGTGTGGCATATAAATTGAAAATAGTGGTTTTAGCCACTTTTTTTTTTCTTTTCCTGATACAAGGGATTGAACCCAGGGAGTCCAAGCTGCATCTTTAGCTATCTTTTGAGACAGGGTCTTTTCTGAATTATGCGGGCTGGTCCAGAATTTGTGATTTTTCTGCCTCACGCTGCTAAGTAGCTAGGATCGTAGCTGTATGCCACCATGCTCAGCTGGCTTTAGCCACTTCTGAAGTGTACTGAGTTGGGTCTCCAAATGGGCTGGGCAGGGAGTATATCCTTATACCTGTGCCCTGGAGTCTGTTCCCTCATAGATACAGCTGGCTGGTCATTTACTCACAGTTTCCTTTGTTTTGTTTTTTCAATTGTTTTGTTGTCTTCTTGAGACCAGGACTTACTGTGCAGTTCAGGATGGCTGTAAGCTCACTGTGTCGCCCAGGCTGGTCTTGAGCTCATGGTGATCCTTCTGTTTCAGCCTCCCAAGTGCTGGGATTACAGGCATATGCCATCACTCTCAGCTAGTTTTCTTTTTGAACACATTCAAAAGGTGTTCAAAGTGATTTTCTTTTTCCATTTTCAGGAACAAAAAGTTACCCTTTTGTTTGTACTGCCTCCTTCCACACAAGCACGCCCTTGGCTAAAGAAGATTATTACCAGATATTAGGAGTACCCCGAAACGCCAGCCAGAAAGAGATCAAGAAAGCCTATTACCAGGTCTGTATGAAAGTCAGATTTAGTAATAAAACTGTAGAAGTACCGCTATTGATCTTATCCAGTGCTGATTGGTACAACGTATAACTGAAATTTGTGGGTCATATGGGGTGATGTGAGGACAGTATGCTTTGATAGACAAATTTTTCAGTGCAGTTAATGCTTCACAGAAAAGAGATCAAACAAGAAAAAAATTGTTTTGTTTGTTTGAGGCAAGGTCTAACTTTGTTCAGGCTGGCCTTGAATTCATTTTGTAGTCTAGACTACCCATGAACTTGGGGTGATCTTCCTGGCTTAGGCCGCCTGAGTGCTGGGATTGCAGTAGTGCATTGTACGATTGACAGCTTTTCTTTCCTTTTTGTAGTACTGGAAATTCAACAAGGGCCTCATATGTGTTAGGCAAGTACTCTACCACTGAGCTACATGTTCAGCCTTTATTTAGGTGCTGGGATTGGTTATACCCAAGGCCTTGTCTATAGGAAGCATATACTGTACTACTAAGTAGCTACATCCTGGCACCCAGACAACTTTTTTTTTTTTTTTTTTTAATTTTATTTATTTGTGTGTGTGTGTGTGTGTGTGTGTGTG